AATGCCGAGCACACACACCTGCCATGTGTCTGTTACTATTACTGAAGGTATGATTCTTTCACATCATGTCAGTATTTCTGTATTTGAAAAAAAAATCTCATAAATGTTTTTAATGGTTTCCTAACACCTTTGAGTAAAGTTTTCTTTTCCATTAATGTTGCATACCTCTAACGTGCGTTTTTTTCCTTCCTCACCAGATGAAATAAAAGCAGAGATAGAAAAGCAGAGGTAAGCTTCAGCACTTTGTCCTTGCTGAAACACAACACGAAGGGAGGGGGCAGCGGCTCTGGGCACCTTTCACTGTGTGTGTCCCCTCTTCAGTGTGGCCCTGTCCCCGAGGACCGGCACGCACTGTCCTTGCACAGCACTGGGCATGCGCAGAGCTCTGTGTGGGCTGCGCTAGGTCAGCAGGTGCCGCCTCAGTACTTCCACACTTGGAGGAAGGGGGACTGGAAACTGAGTTCATGTTGTATCACAGCCCTTGTCCCCTTGCCCTGCTTCCTTACGGAGCCTTGACGACAGCTTGCTGCTCCGTGGCTGCTCCTGATCGTCTTAGTAATGAAGGCAGTTGGTCACATCTCAGAGAGTTCTGACTTGACTGGCACCCAGATGCAGTCCAGAACGCTGTTGATTTAGCATGCTAATCAGGGACCTTGCTCTCTGCAGAAGGCATTGTGGTGATTTTTCCCTGATGCATGTATTCAACTTTTTTTTTTTTTTTGAGATATTTTTGGTATAGGGTGCATGTGTGCGCTTGCCAGAGAGACAGAGAGAACAGAAGTGAGAAATCACCCCCAGGGGGGTTGGTCATGCTGCAGTCCCTTCTTCTTCATTCTCTTCTTGGGATTTTGGGCATGCATGCATATGCCCCCTGTGTGAGTTTGAAGCCACTGGGTCTGGGACTCTGCAGTTGGCCATATGGGAGTCCAGCACCTTAACCACTATGCCACCAGCTGGTCCTGTGTTCAGTTTTAAATTGTCTAAAGCCCAGGTATAGTTTGTATACACTTTCATTGAATGGTTGCAAGTGGAATGGGAAGTTAGAATAAGGAGTAGGAAAAGGAAGCTTTATTTTCCCATCAGCCCTCTCCTGCTTTTTCCCTAGGCTTGGCGCTGCTGCACCACCAAAGGCAAACTTCATTGAAGCCGACAAGTATTTCCTTCCGTTCGAGCTAGCCTGCCAGTCTAAGTCCCCCCGGGTGGTCAGCACATCCCTCGACTGCTTACAGGTACTGTGTTAAAACTCGACAGTGTAAAGGGGGGATTTCTCCAGCTCTCCTTACACCCTGGTGCTCAGAACATCCCTGAGGTGAGGTCTCGTGAGGGAGAGAGAGAAGTCTGAGCTCTTTAGCTGAAACAAGAATTTGTTTCCCTAGAATATTTCACTTGTTGATCTTTCTTAGGGATGTTTTGCTAAAAGAAACTTTGACCATTAGTTGGAGTATTTGATTCACATGGGCACATAAAGTACCTTCATGCAGTCCCTTTCTCAATGGTATTAAATTCATGATATCAAGTAGAGAAATTTAGTAGATACAGTTGCAGCTCCTTATTTCTGGTAGTTTCATTTGTTCTGTGAAATCCCAGGAACACTGAATTAGCAAGCACTGAATCGCTGCTCCTCAAGGAGGTACAGGGTTAGAAGTCTGTGAGCCTGTGCTCCCGACACTGGTGTCAGCTGGTCAGTATATAACCTGTTCTTCGTGTTATTCTGAATACAGACACCTCGCTTAATATGTATGCTTGCTTCATCGTCGATGGACTCAGGGCCAGCATCACTGTAACACCTGCCTGGACAGTTTATCTCACATACGTGACGGCTCCATAAGGCACACCATTGCCTTCTTGCCCTTAGGAGCGCTAGAAAGCAACTTCAGCACACATGTGAGGGACATTTTAACAGCAAAATCAACAAAAAGGACAAAAATGTGACAGATGCAGCATGAAGAACACTTGTTGCAGTAGGAGCACTGAAACAAGAAGGCAGAGCATCTCCTTGCTCAACCTCACTGGAAACATGAGAGTCAAGCGATGCAGTTTTTTACTGCTCTGCACTTGTCCTCAGATGACCACAAAAGTTCCAGAAGGATGGATTTGGGGCTTCCAAATACATTATACTGAGTAGGAGCATTTGCAAATGCAGAATCTCCAAATAATGAGGATCAACTGTATTTAGAACCAGAAATAAGCTTGTTATAAGGTACCTTTTACTGCCAAAGAAGCAGGAGTAGAAGTTGGGGTGACTTGTCCAACACGTACGGTACTGAGACAGAAACCGTTTTCTTAATTCCTGGTAGAGCTCTCTTTTCTCAAGTCCTGCTTCAGAGGTTTATGGTTTTATCTCAAAGAACTTTAATTCTTTTTTTTTTTTTTTTAAAGAGAGATATTTGCTATAGGGCACATGCTTTTGCTGGAGAGACAGAAAACAAGAAACCACACCCCAGGGGAGGATGGCCATGCCTCAGTCCCTTCTCTCGGCATTTTGGGCATGCATGCACACGCGTCTGGCATGAATTTCAAGCCTCCAAGTCTGGGACTTGAACTGTGGTCAGCCATATGGGAGTCCATTGACGTAACAGTTATATCATCTGCTGGTCCCAGGACTTTAATTCTTGACCTCATCAATGAGAAAAGTTGAATACATTTTTAAGTGTATTACAGAGATTCACTGAAGGGTTCACCAGTACTTTTTGAAACAGGAATGATAGGGACCAGCAGTTAGCCTAATGGCTATGTTGCTGGACTCCCATGTAGTCAACTGCGGTTCAAGTCCTGGACCCAGTGGCTTAAAACTCAGGCCAGGCCATGTGTGTGCACGCCCAAGATCCTGAGAGGAGAATGGAGGAGAAGGGATTGCAGTGTGGCCATCCCCTCTGGGGGGTGATTTCTCGCTTTCTCTCTCTCTCTGCCTGTCTCTGTCTGGCGAGCACACGAGCCCTATAGCAAAACCTCTACAAAAAAAAAAAAGAAAGAAACAGAAATGATGAATAGATTTTATATTCTGATTGCTTAAAGTTGTGTTGAAAAGGTATCTGAAGGCTCATCTATTAATAGGTTTCTTCAGAAAGAGTACCACGATTGACTGGTTATATCTGCCAGAGCAGAGGACTGTCAAATGGCAACAACGTGCCACATTTTTGGCATCTCTAATGTAATATTTGCTCTGTTAATCTCTTTTCTTTGATATATATACTCAAGAACCGATGACAGTTCTTCACAGAAGCAGCTTTTCCAAATGAAAAAACATTTTCTCATTCAGTAAATCCTGTACAGAGTGTCCTATGTGGAACATATAATGAGCCAAGAATTCTTTTTTTTTTTTTTTCTTTTTTTTTGTGGTGATAGCTACAGTATTGGTGCACTAAGAACAATGGTTCACACCCTGGGCTCTCAGGGTTTGGATGATGGTTCGTCTCCCAGAGTTTCATGTTTTGGAATTTGATATTGGGAGGTGGGGAGGCCTAGTGAGTATTGATTGAGCCTTGCCGATTGCATCAAGAGGCAACGGTCTCGTGGATAGATGAGTGATGTCTCTTCTCAGACTCAGTTCCAACTCACATGAGAGAGCTGGTTGTTACAAACAAGAGGACTGTCAGAAGTGTCTTTCTCTGCACGCACCTACCCTCCTCTGTGCTTTCTCCAAAGGCCATGTTACAGTCCGACCTAATGTCAAGCCTACACCTTCAGAAATAGCTGCCATGGGACCAGCAATTAGCATAATGGCTATGTCGCTGGACTCCCATGTAGTCAACCGTGGTTTGAATCCCAGACCTGGTGCCTTAAACTCACGCTGGGCGTGCGTGCCCAAGATCCCAAGAGGAGAACAGAGGAGAAGGGATTGTGGCGTGGCTATTCATTTCCCCCTGGGGGATGATTTCTCGCTTTCTATCTCTCTGTCTCTCTGGCAAGCGCGCGCATGTGCCCTATGGCAAAAAAAAACCTCTCCAAAAAAAAAAAAAAAGAAAGAAAGAAATAGCTGCCAGGATTGTGGATCAAAATAAATCCCTATTCTCTTTTTTTTTTTTTTTTAATTAAAAAAAAATTTTTTTTTGTATTCTCTTAAATAAACCCCTGTTTTCAAAATAAACCCTCTATTCTCTGAAATTCACCCAGTCTTGGGTGTTTCTGTTAGCAGTGCAAAACAGACTCAGACAGGCTCTCAGCCTGAGCTGGGCCAAGTGCTTCATTCATTTTATCTTATTTAATCTTGAAAACCTTCTGAGGCACTTACTCTTGTCCTCCTTTTAGAATTGAGGGATCTGGCCTTTCCTTTTGGCAGGAACTGCCATCTTCCAGTAATTAACCAAAATGAC